CAGGCCACACCTAAAAGATTCCACATGCCACAACTAAGACCCAGCACAACCAAATAAATACAGAAAAAAACAAAAAGTGCATTTTCTTTTTTACTGTTGTTTCTATTGAGACTTTTTAAATGTCTTACTAATTCTGCTTTATGTGTATACATGTTTTGCATCCTCCAAGCACCTGAATTATGGATACATTATTTCTCATTGCAAAGCTCTTGTAGATTTTCTTTAATTGGTTGCTTGCTTAAGTGCTCTGTAATCCCATGTGGGAGAGTCCTATTGGGTCCCAGAGGACTTATGTATTACAGAGCAAAGTACTGAACCTCTCAGAAACTCACTCTTTTTGCTGTCTGCATGAAAGCAGGAGCCACATCTTTATTCCACTTTGAATCCCTAGGACAATGTGTGCACCAGTAAACCCACAGTTAGTGTCTGTGGAACTGAACTATATCTCCTCTGTACCACTGTTAGTCCATTTTTTTCTTTTTAATTGATTTAAGAAATCTCTCCTGTTTTCAAATCTTTTAAAGGGTCTTCTAAATTCCTTTTGGGATCATTCCTTTTTTGTTTAGTCGCTAAGTCGTGTTTGATTCTTGCAGCCCATGGACTGTAGCCTGCCAGGCTCCTCTGTCCACGGGATTCTCCAGGCAAGAATACTGGAGTGGGTTGCCATTTCCTTCTCCAGGGGATCTTCCCGACCCAGGAATTAAACCCAGGTCTCCTGGATTGCAGGCAGATTATTTACCAGCTGAGCTATGAGGGAAGATCTTTCTACACCATAAGCTTTCCTTATTATTTTTTTTTCTTTCGCATAGGTATGATTCTACTTTCAAAAATATGGCTTAATTTTTCTACCCTGGGAATTCACTTTAGATGTTTATAGATAACTTTTCAGATTTCATTCCTGCTGTGCTGCGCTGAGTTACTCAGTCATGTCCGACTCTTTCTGATCCCATGGACTGTAGCCCACCAAGTTTCTCTGTCCCTGGGGATTCCCCAGGCAAGAATACTGGAGTGGGTTGCCATGCCTCCTCCAGGGTATCTTCCCAACCCAGAGATCAAGCCGCATTGCAAGCAGATTCTTTACCATCACCTGGGAAACCCAAGAATACCGGAGTGGGTAGCCTATCCCTTCTCCAGGGGAACTTTCTGACCCAAGAATTGAACCAGGGTCTCCTGCATTGCAGCAGGATGCTTTACCAGCTGAGCCACCCTTATTTTCGGTTGTGTATTCCGACTTTTTCTTTATTAAACTCACACGTTGTTGCGATTTTTTTCATAAATTAATATTGCTCTGAGAAAGGGAAGGAAGGGGTAAAATTTCATTGCTGTTTGTTGAGGAGTCTGTGTGGCTATTCCCAAAGTTAACTGTTTTGTTGTTGCTGTTCCATGGAGGCTGAAACAAATTTTTAAAATTACCCCTAAATTTCTACTCATTATTTAGGTTTGAAGGATGTACTTAAGATTCAGTTCAGCTCAGTTCAGTTGCTTACTCGTGTGTGACTATGACCCTGTGGACTGCAGCATGCCAGGCTTCCCTGTACATCACCAACTCCCAGAGCTTACTCAAACTCATGTCCATTAAGTCAGTGATGCCATCCAACTATCTCATCCTCTGTCATCCCTTTCTCCCCTCGCTTAAGATTATTTATTAGCAAAGTTTGGACTAGAAATGGGATGCCTGATCCCCAAGCTTAGGGCTTTGCTAATCAATACTTCCTTCCTGTAAAACAGCCATGTCATATTCTAGAAATAAAACAGAAAAGCCTGGATGCTTTGATTTTAGCTGCAGCTGTAATGAGGGTTCTGTTGCAAGTTTAGATGCATGCTATCTAAATGCATGCATGCTCAGTCGATTCAGTCATGTCCAACTCTTTGTGACCCCATGGACTCACCAGCCTCCTCTGTCCACAGGATTCTCTAGGCAAGAATACTGGAGTGGGTTGTCAGGCCCTCCTCCAGAGGAACGTCCTGACCAAGGGATCAAATCTATGACTCCTTCATCTCCTTCACTGCAGGCAGATTCTTTACGGCTAACCCACCAGGGAGATGTTCTCCACATTCTACCCCAAATGTGAGCCTGCACATTCTGCTTTTCTACATCAGGTTAGGGAATTCCTCTCTGTTCTGTGCAGAAGTACAATCCAGGAGGGTAGAGAATTAAAAGCTGTGGGAAACCCTCAACCAATACAGGATGGGAGTGGTGGATTAATGCTCCAACCTCACGATGGCTATCCAGGATTGGGGGCATGCTATATGTTTCTCAGGGGTCCTTAAGGAATAAGCGGTTACTTCAACAATGGACCCTTATACCGACTTTTTCTTCTTTCTCGTCTCACTCTTGCTGATCCATCAATTCCACGGAAACACTTTCCAAATAAACAAGATGCACCCAAATCATTGTCCCCAAGATCTACCTTTGGGAGTGCCCAAACTAAGCCACCTGGAGGAGGGCAAGGCAAACCACTCCAGTTTTCTTGCCTGGAGAATTCCATGGACAGAGAAGCCTGGTGGCTACAGTCCATGGGGTCACAAAGAGTCGGATATAATATGAATGCAAACTAAGCCAACAATTCATTCAACAAACATTTACTAAATGACTTTGTTGTTGTTTAATCACCCAGTCGTGTCTGACTCTTGCCACCCACCCCATGGGCTGTAGCCCACCAGGCTCCTCTGTCTACAGGATTTCCCAGTATAGAATACTGGAGTAGGTTGCCATTCTCTTCCCCAGGATATCTTTCCAACCCAGGAATCCAACCCATGTCTCTTGCATTACAGGCAGATTATTTACCATTGAGCCATCAGGGAAGCCAGTAAATGACTAGTCTATGACAAACTAGTGCCTGCTCTGAAGTGTATAACAGGGAGACACAAAAGTAGAACCTTACCTCAAAGTTACAGTCTGTTGTTGGAGATGCTATGTTAGAGGCAAGAACAGAATTATGCATCAAGACATAGGGTAGTTTATTTGGAAAGTGTTTTCGCAGAACAGGATTGATGGATCAGCAAGAGTGAGACAAGAAAAAAGAAAGAGTCAGTATAATTAATGAATTAACAAATGAGCTAATTAATGAAATGTGAATCAAATATACATCAACAACTGTATACCATGCAAATGACAACTATTGAGTTGATACCTTTGTATGCTCTGTATAGGACTTCCCAGGTGTTGCTAGTGGTAAAGAACCTGCCTGCCAACGCAGGAGGTGCGGGAGATGCTGGTTGAATCCCTGGGTTGGGAAGATCTCCTGGAGGAGGACATGGCAACCCATTCCAGTATTCTTGCCTGGAGAATCCTGTGGACAGAGGAGCCTGGCGGTCTGCAGTCCATAGGGTCGCAAACAGTTGGACACGACTGAAGTCGCTCAGCAAGCACGCTCTCTACAAGGGTTATGCTCTGCTCTTTTGTGGTTTGTAGTGGTACATGATATGAACCTAGGTGATACATGGATGGACATTTAAACATTTTTGTAGTTATTATGTTAATATGTACTAGACTAAAAATAACACTTGACTTTTCAGAGCCTTATGGTTTAGGATGAGGCTAAAATTAATGAGTTGAAATTGGTTTTAAAGAAAAACACTAAGGGAATAATACCTGGGTGCAGACTGGCAAACATTATGTGGGTGGTATGCAGGGTAATGAAATTTGGGAAATAGCGTTCTGCAGGAAGGAAACCTGAAATGAAATCCCTGCTTTCTAGAAGGTCAATAGTGAGGGAACACTGGCCCACAAACAAGAATGATTAGTACCACAATAAATTTGGAAACCAAATACAGGGAGAAGATAGGAAAACAGTGAAGAGCAAACAGAAGGCTATACTAAAGCTACAACCTCCATCGGAAGGCTATTACTCTAGTCCAGGGGAGAGGTAATACCAGCCTGCATTAGGGAGTGTCTTCAACAATGGCATAAGGACGAGTAATATAATAGGTTCATTGCAATCATCCTGTGAAAACCTCGCTAGTTGCAAACAGCATGAAGTTGAAACCTGTTCAGCCAAATCCAGAGCAGCATTGTCCACATATATACACAACCACACAAATGGAATGACAGAGCTGAATTCGTCACTCAGAAAATAGAATTAGAAGCACATTTTTATTTGGCTTCAACGATCAGAGTGGTAGTGTGAATTAGTCAGATTCTTGCCCCCATTCCTTTTTTTTTTTGTACTTGACTCAGAGGCTCGAGAAACGCTAACACATATACAGCGCTTTCTATGTCTCAGGCATGTTCTAAAAGCTTTACATTTTCCATTCTTCTAACCCTTTATTTGACACAAGAGGAAACTGAAGCATAGGAGGTGCCCAGGTAATGCATCTCTGTGAAACAGCAAGGATTAAACTCAGGCGTTCTGGCTCTAGAGTATCTATTCTTTACACTAGAATGAAAGAGTCGGATAATGCTGAAACAGCTCACCCTTCAGCATCGGATCTTGAAACACTCTTAACTGGTGGCAGAACACTTGGCTCTGGGATCACAGTTTCTCCTTCTGTAAGATGGAGATAATAACGACGCTAGGAGTTTGGTGCAAAGAAGGAGTGAGATAATGAATGCGAAAGTGAACTTCAAATTATGTAGGTGGCTCCACACACCAGTCTTTTGGAATAATGAGAACGGGAACTCAAGAAATTGTAACGAATCAATCTACGAATCTTGTAGCGAGACTCCGCCCCTGACGCTCCTCCCACTGCGAGCCGCAGGTGGGGCCGGCCGATCTTCTTTGCGCATGCGGGAACTGCTGCCCGCTCCCACCTCTATCCCAGGCTGAGAGTAGCTGCCGTTTCTGAGAGGACGATTCGTAAGGAGACCCCTGGCGCGGTTTCCCATTGCTCGTCCCTCTGCTGGCTTTGGCCATAGTTCAGTGGTGTCTAGAGGGTGGTCTGTCCTCGTCTACCTGCCAGACCTTCTGCAGAGGTACCTGTGGTTGGCCCAGTAGTCGGCTGTCGAAAGTGCCGGCCCCCGCGCCGGCGCCGGCTGCAGCCGGGTGGGAAGGCTCAAGATGGCGTGCCTGTTGGAGACCCCAATCCGCATGAGCGTCCTCTCGGTGAGTGACCCGCCGCAGCCGCTCGCTTACCCGCGCGGGAGCTCGGGCCCAGCCCGCGCCATTCACCAGCAACGCCGTCTGCCTCTTGGGCATCACCCCTTGGGGTGGCCTCTGGCTCAGCTCTGGGCCGGGGAGTGAGAGAGGGTGGGCGGGCGGGATAGACTGGATCCCAGCCGAGCCCGAGACGTCTCCAACTCCGGGAGCGCTCACCGGTGCTGGTTCTCTGACGGCGTCCGGCGGGCGGGGTGGTTGGGCACACGGGCAGCTGGCCCAGCGGCGCGGCTTGGGCTTTGCCAGTTGTTTCGCCGAGCCCTCCTCTTAGCGACGCCGCTTCCCCGGGGCCGAGCACTCTGCTCCGTGAGGCGCCGGGCTTGCCGCTGACCTGGGGATGAGTGCCCACTTAGCCACCCCATCCTCCCCACCCCCAACCGCTGTGGCAAAAAAAGATAGAGGCTCCTTGGCCCCCACAGACTCGGGGCTACCACGCCAGATCTATGTGGCTTCTATCGCTTCCCAGCACCCGGTTACGGGTTGGAGTTGCTTGCTTCTTGGCAACGGAGATTTCATATCAGTTGCAACGTCTCCTAGTGTGTATAGTTATTTAAGCCCCCTTTCTCCGCTCTACTGTGACGGTCTCAGCCCTGTGAGTCTGCAGGAACCTGTGCCTGGCATTCCTTTTTCCTTTAAGAGGAGTCAAACGTTAAAAAGGAATGTATTGACATGCCAACAAACAAACCTAGTTTGCTTGTTGAAGTTTAAAAATAAAACCAAATCGCGACTTTCACCGTTTACTGTGTTGCTTTTGAGAGAACCAGGACCAGGGGTGAAAGTTACTAGAAGGTACCTTAGAAGGGTTTTGCAACAAATGAGAGCTGTCCAACTGAGAATTGTCAGTTTACCAGAGGCCCATTTGTTGTAGTTGGAAACCAGCCGGCAAAGACTGGTTGACCATCTTTTAAACTTCTCGTGGAAGTCAGTCTGATGTTGAGACGGTGGCTGGATTGTACATGACTTGTCAGATTCCTTGAGTCTGTGGCTCCAGCTGGTTTCTTTTCTCTTCAGTGACTTCTCCCACAAACACACTCACCTGTCTGGAGGCACTTAGCTCATTTGCAACAATTCGCGGTTAGAGCATTGTTGCGGTTAGACCATTGTTGCAGTTACAGAATTGTGCTATATTCCACTTTGATTTTTTTTTTTTTGGAAGGGGGTGAGCTGTACAGAAATATTTTCTCTGATCCATTTTAGTAATCCCTTTTTAAATTTTTAAACTGTGACTGGGGAAATACTGTTCACCTAAGCATTGAATTAGATTCAGTTACCACACCTCTGACTGACACCTAGTAACATTTTATGGGAGAACAGGCCAATGACTTTAACGTCATTATGCTGTTGTTGTTTTGAAGTCACTTTTCTCAGTTCCCTTTAAGTATTCTCATTTATCCTTAACTTCACTTGAAGCTTTTTTATTTTTGTACATTGTCAACTCATATAGTGTACAGTTGAATTTTGTTGTTGTTGTTTTTTGTTTTCACCCCCTTAGTAATATTTCCTATTTAACTTTGTGCAAAGACTTCTTGAAGAGTGTTCTCTATTTCTTGTGGGGATTTGCTTTAGCCCCAGTCTCACTGGGCCTCTCTTCCCTTTCACCTCCAACCACCTTTTTTTTTTTTTTTTTTTAAAGGTTTTCAGAGTCCTAGGGTCTGGTCTTTCAGTTCATCAGTTCTGGTGCCTTGGGAAAGCAGAGCTTTGGATAAATGATTTAAACTGTCCAGACTTATTGATTATAATAATTTCAACTGAAGCCTGGATCTTTCAAAGTTCTACCTAGGGCACCACTTTTTGAAATACAAAGTGCAGATGGACCAGGAATTAATAATGAAAAATTATCTTGAAAATAATTGACCCCTTTAATAGGCTACTTATTTTGCACCAGCTGTGTACAACACTGTTTAATATATGCTTTAGGGTATGCTTGATTGAGCTCAGCTGTACCCTCAGGGAACTCACTGGTCTGAATGACTCCATAGCTTGAAAAACATAGTTCACACCAGGGGCAGATCAAATGATTTAGAGAATTTCCCTTCAAGGCCCTTTATATCTTCTTCTCTCTGGTGGCTTAGATGGTAAAGAACTCTACCTGCAAGGCATGAGACCCGGGTTCGATCCCTGGGTTGGAAAGATCCCCTGGAGAAAGGAATGGCAACCCACTCCAATATTCTTGCCTGGAGAATTCCATAGACAGAGGAGCCTGGTGGGATACAGTCCATGGGGTCACAAAGAGTCAGACATAACTGAGCAACTAACCACAACCTCTCTGAGAGATATTATTCATTCCAAAATGTTAACTGTAGTCAACTCACACATCTGCATTGTCAGCCTTGGCTGTTCTCCATCTGGTCTCATGTCTTCGAAGAGTTGTGTGGATGTTAGCCATCACTTCCAACAAAGCACATTCCTTCTGACTTCCCATTTCTGTTAATGGTACTGTCTTTCATGGATCACCCACCATTAAACTGCTTGAATCATCTTTGACTCTTCCCTCTTCATGCCTCTAGAGCCTTAAGTTCTTTTGGCTCTTCATTCTCAGTGTTTCTCACATCTGTCTGTTCCTGTGACCACCTTCTCTTTCATGACCTTATCATTTTATGCCTGCATTACCACAGTTCCTTGCAGTTTATTTTACTGCCTCTAGTAGTCCAGTTCTCCACATTAATTTTCCTATACAGCACACAGGACACACAGTTTCCTTGTTTCAATTCTTCAGTGGATTCCTGTTGATGAAAGGATGCTATTCCTATTCAGTTTTGGATATAAGATTCTTTCTCCTCTGCATGAACCTCCTATCCCATATAAACTGGCTTTCTCAAGTTAAAGTGGTCTGGATTCTTACAAACCCCAGTAGTGCTTGTTTGCCTGCTCATTTGCACACATGAATTCTAGCTTTGTATGTAACACATTTTGAGCTTCTGTCATTTGCTGAGCATGGCATTGGGTTTGGGAATACAGTGGTGAACTGCACAGACTGTCTCTGCCTTCTTGGAGATTAGTCTAATGGGGGAAAGAGATATCAAAATGTCACAGAGTTCTTTGTAAACGATGATTAGTGTTACAAATGAAAAATATAGGGTGCTGTACCAACATGTAATAGAGGAATGTGTTCAAATATGGAGGTCAGTGAGCTAGGAAAGGTTTCCCTGAAGAAGTGACAATGAGCTAATAGTTCAAGGACAAGTAAGAACTAACTCGAATAACAGAAGAGCATTCCAGGCAAGCTGGAATCCAGCTGAAATCAAGATTGAAATCAAGCTGGAATCAAGATTGCCAGGAGAAATATCAATAACCTCAGATACGCAGATGACATCAGCTTCCTGATAGTTCAGTTGGTAAAGAATCCACCTGCAATGCAGGAGACCCTGGTTCAATTCCTGGGTTGGGAAGATCCACTGGAGAAGGGATAGGCTACCCACTCCAGTATTCTTGGGCTTCCCTTGTGGCTCAGCTGGTAAAGAATCTGCCTGCAATGCAGGAGACCTGGGTTCGACCCCCGGGTTGGGAAGATCCCCTGGAGAAGGGAAAGGCTACCCACTGCAGTATTCTGGCCTGGAGAATTCCATGGGCTGTATAGCCCATGGCGTCATAAAGTGTCAGACATGACTGAGTGACTTTCACTTTAGAGCAAAAAGCAAAGAAGAACTAAAGAGTCTCTTGATGAAAGTGAAAGAGGAGAGTGAAAAAGTTGGCTTAAAACTCAACATTCAAAAAACGAAGATCATGGCATCTGGTCCCACCACTTCATGACAAATAGATGGGGAAACAATGTAAACAGTGACAAACTTTATTTTCTTGGGCTCCAAAATCACTGCAGATGGTAACTGCAACCATGAAATTAAAAGACACTTGTTCCTTGGAAAAAAAGCTATGACCAACCAAGACAGCATATTAAAAAGCAGAGACATTACTTTGCCAACAAAGGTCGTCTAGTCAAAGCTATGGTTTTTCCAGTAGTCATGTATGGATGTGAGAGTTGGACTATAAAGAAAGCTGAGCACCAAAGAATTGATGCTTTTGAACTGTGGTGTTGGAGAAACTCTTGAGAGTCCCTTGGACTGCAAGGAGATCAAACCAGTCAGTCCTAAAGGAAATCAGTCCTGAATATTCATTGGAAGGACTGATGCTGAAGCTGAAACTCCAGTACTTTGGCCACCTGATGCAAAGAACTGACCCGTTGGAAAAGACCTTGATGCTGGGAAAGAGTGAAGGCAGCAAGAGAAGGGGGTGACAGAGGATGAGATGGTTGGATGGCATCACTGACTCAATGGACATGAGTTTGAGTAAACTCCGGGAGTTGGTGATGGACAGGGAAGCCTGGTGTGCTGCAGTCCACGGGGTCGTAAAGAGTCGGACATGACTAAGTGGCTGAACTGAACTGATTCTAGGCAAAGGAAACTTGTGTTTCAGAAGTCCTGAGGCTTTTAGTAATTATTCTGTTTTATCTTCTTAGAGAGTAAAGTAATTCAGAGCTAAATGCTGGACCTTGCCTTCTTTTTAATCCAGCTATCCTTTATAGAGCTTCCTTGGTGGCTCAGATGGTGAAGAATCTGACGGCACTGCTGGACACCCAAGTTCAATCCCTGGGTAGGGAAGATCCCCTGGAGGAGGAAACACTCCAATATTCTTGCCTGGACAACCCCATGGACAGAGGAACCTGGTGGGCTACAGTCAATGTGGTGGCAAAGAGCCACCACACAACTGAGCCACTGACACACTTTCACTTTCTATAGCACTGTGTCTTTTGTATGCTAGATTCTCAATAAATATTTGATTGAACTGTTTATTTGGAGGAATTGGACGAAATCTCCAGGTGTCTTTCTTGGTCATGGCCATGATCACCCTATCCCTCTTTGGTTTGCATTTAGCTTTACAATGTCACTGTTTTCAACACCATTTATACATTTTCCCAAACTTTTGGGGTGGTTTTACATTGATTGCATTTTTAA